GATAAAGACAAAACTGTAAATGCAAGAAAATGATGATTGTTGATTCTTAGTTAGCCAACTCAATTGTACCGGATGAAACCTCAACCATCTCAGCTAATATATTCAATTTAAATTTGTTTAAGCTTTATATTTTTATTACTTCAATTTCACAAGTTATCATGCTTCCCTTTTAGCTTTAGCATGAATACTCTAGAAGATTTAGGTATTTTTCTGAATTTTCTTAAAAAGTTATTTCCTTTTAAATAAAATGGTCAGGTGACGAACATAAGATGTCTTTTTTTTTTCTTCTCACCAGCAAAATACACAAAATGCCATTTAATCCATAAGAAATACTATAAGAATAGTTTCCAACAAATTAGAAAAGAATAAAGCAATATCGCAAAAATGCAATTAAACCACCATATTTTAATTGATCCACTGTTTCTTTATTCTAGGAAAGCTTAATTTCTCTGTCCAAGCACATATTCATGCACTCAGATGTTATGTTTTTGTGAAGCAAGAGTTTATTATCGTTATCGAATTACTTTTAATTGATGGATGTTGAAAGGACTGTATTAATTCTATCCCATAAGAAGTAAAGATATAAAAAAAAGATTAATATCATAGTTAGAATTTATTCTTTCAACCAGTTCCCACAGCATAGTGTTTTACTTTCGTTTGCGTCTATAATAAATTATCATTTAAAGATTTGAATTCTTTGTAATTGTTTCTAATTTATTAAAGTATTTTTAAGAGAAATATATTACAAAAATACTTTGTTTATTTATTTCTAAAGATATTTTATTCAGATGATTTAAATATGTGTTTTCTTCTTCCATACACCAGATTTTTTTTTTTTTCTATTTTGCCTTTCACTTAAATGGTAAGTGCTTTGATATTATTTAGATATGTGCACTAATTTACGATATAATAGCTTGATAATCATTGAATTACATAGATTTCTTATTTTGTTGGGGTTTTTTTAAATCAAGAATCACTCGTATAAACTATTCCAATATTTCAGTCTACCTATAGACACTCTTGTAACTCTCTTGTAATAACTTAACTTTATTTTTGTTGTAATGTATTTTATTGTAACAAAAATAGATACAGATAACTATAAAAACTCTCCCACCATAGTATTGCCTGATAAAAACATATTATTAATCAAGGTGTTTTATCCTTTTTATTCATAAAAATCATGAGAGTGTACAAATCTGTCTAAAGTTTGCAAATTTTCCATTACATCTTTATAATTTTTATATTTTCATTCCTAAACATATTTATATTTTAATCTCTCTTTCCTTCACGTGAAAAAGTATATAAAAAAAATACTTCACAAAGATCATAGTCATCTCTCTTTTTAAGTCGGATCAAGGAAAGAAATTAAATGAGAAACTTATTATTATAGTAGTACATACTAACTAAACCAACATATATGCAATGCAAAAGGCAAAAAAACAGAGTCGTACATCTATTATCACACGGGGAAAATTTGGTCGATAATGATAATAAGACAATCAAGTTCCAAACATTATTTAAAAAAAAAAAAAAAAAACTTTGCGCCGTTGTATATAGAGAAATTAGCTTACAGATTGAAGAAAAAATATTCGATGCATAATGAACTCCTTCAATGATTTTCTTTTTAATCTCCATAATTTTAAGAGAAGTCAAAAGATCAAGGAGTGAAAAGAATAAAAGAATATTACTGTACGCAAATAATTGTTGTCTGTTGACTTAATTTTCTTCAAAAATGACATCCTTAATTCTGAATTTCTACATTATTTGTCACGTTGTATGGAAATAATATGATTTTCAGAACTTCCGAAACTCAAAGAACACCACAATCTTGTAGGATCTTTATTTCTTTGAATAGAAAAATAATCAGTCTTATGATTTTCAGAACTTCTGAAACTCAAGAACACCACAATCTTGTAGGATCTTTATTTCTTTGAACTTAACCGCATATTTGCATCGTTACTATAGTTATCTTTTCTTCTCAACTTTTAAGTGTTTTATTCCTTCCAATTTTTTCCTTTGTGTTATTCTTAAAAATCCAAGACTCATTCGTTAAATGACATCCTTTCCGAAAGAAAAGGCACCTCTTCGGATGGTGAGTTTTCTTATAATTTGTAAGTAGGATAATTAGATCTTTAAGAAGGGCATTTTAATAATCTAACTTTCTAGTTTAGGTCTTCCCACTTTTATAATAATATAGATATAAATATAGATATAGACAGATATAGATTAATTAAGTAGGAAGCTGTCAGTGATCTCTTCCCGCAGCCGGCATTTGAAGTGAAGCTGAACACCATATATTATATGGTGGTGACTGGTGAGGAATACAATTGAATTTACGACTTTAATTAAAGACTAATTTCGAGTTTACAAACTCTTATACTTGAATTCTGGATTCTATATTGAGATATCTGGGATATTAAGTGGTGATAAATTTTTAACACACGCCCTCAGTAGATTTTTCAACTTCAAATATTATCTTCGGCTCTTAAATAATGAGAAATATATTGTCTTTCCGAAACTGCTTCAATTTCTCTTGGTACCATACTACGCGATTGAATACAACTTACCGAATACAAATGAATGCTCACAAGTCACAACTTGACTAGGTTGTTGACAATCAAAAAACAGCTCCGTTCTTATAAATATCTATAGTTTATCGTTTCTTCTCTCATTCACTCAATCTAGCATTCACATCTAGTGTTTCTCTTTCTTTTCATTTATTTCTTGACTTACACGCAACTCAAATAATCACTTTTGTTTATCAATGGTAATGAAACCATTTAGTACGGAATAGTTAGATTAATATATTGCTAAAATTTTTGCTAACTACTTCCATGTATAATACTTCTAGAGTGAAGAATCTCATGCTAGAGGTCTTTCACTTCTCTGAATAAATAACAAATTAGCTCGTTGTGGTTATTATACTGTTGTTAGGTTTGCTGTTAATTACTTTCAGATGTTGACTTTTTTGTATTCCTCTTCTTTGGACAGTTAAGCTCTAATATTTCACACAAGGTCCAACTTCGATAAAATCCAAACTTAGTTTTCTATTTCTTTTGGTTCGACTTCCAAGACTCAATACCTCTGTCCAACATTTATAAGGGATGAACGTGCCTAGGCCATCTATCTATAAGACCAAGTTAATTGAAAGGTCTATATTAGCTCCTGTCCTATTATTATTTTAATAGAACAAGTTCTTTTTTACGAGACATGCTAACTTACTAAGGTATAACTTTAGCCCACGATATGCATAACCATTTAAAAAAAAAACCAGTCTGGTGCACTAAACTCCCGATATGTGCGGGGTCCAGAGAAGGACTGGACCACAAGAATCTATTATAAGCAGTCTTACCCTGCATTTCACCAAACTCCCGATATGTGCGGGGTCCAGAGAAGGACTGGACCACAAGAGTCTATTATAAGCAGTCTTACCCTGCATTTCACCAAAAGGCTGTTAATATCACTGATGTGTGCTTAATTGCTGATTATGGTTATTATGATGAACCACATGAATGGGAATTATTTCACATTCGGAGCATTTTATTTGAACTTTTGAAATGAGAAAACCATATTCCATTTCTATAACAAATAACAGCATCCTTTGCATAGAATGTGAATGCTGACCAGAATAACAATATTATATACACTGATAAAAGAGTGATGCACCAGGTCATTACGGGGAATCATTTTGCATTTTATAGGTTTATCTACTCTGCATTTACAGCAACAGTGAGAATTTTGTATGAGTATTCCAACAATTTTATACAAACTTCAGTAAAGGAGGACTTCCATCTGGTTGTGGCTTACATGTCTGCAACTTCCACAATATGCCCTGTCACCTTGCTTTGACTTCTTCCAGTCTGCAGGCAGGCAAGAGCTTATAGTCCCAGCATCAATCAATAAGGAAAGTCATGCAAATAGCTATATTTTTTTTATAATGTGGTGTCTGTGTCAGCTTGTGCACATCTCGACTATTCCATTGAGTACTTGCTTACCCTCCTACTAGCATAGTCATGCAAATAGACGTTTATCGAGAACAATAGATTCTTAACGAAACTTTATATGATTCTATTAGAAAGAAAATGACATGTCAGAACAAGTCATGGACATACTTTCATTGACATGAAAGAGAGGATACAACCATCTTAAGTGCCTCCACCTGCACAGAAACATTTCAGTGACTTATCTAGTTTTCTTTTCATACAAAAAGAATGATTTATCTTATATATTCAGTCATGTATGACTTTGTAAAAGCCGATGCAAAGTCAGGCCAGAGCTTACAGTCACACTGGCATCAATCAAATAAGCAAAGCCATGCAAATAGATCTTTAATCAAGAATGAAAGATTTTTAATGACACTTTACATGATGTTATTACAAAGAAAATGATGTGAGAACAAGTCAGGATCATACTACCATTGACATGAAAAGAGAGGGTACAACAATCTAAAGTGCCTCCTCCTGCACAGAGGCGTCGGACATTTGACAAAGAGTTATCTAACTTTCTTTTTTATACATAAAGAATGAGATATCTGATATATTCAGTCATGTATGACTCTGTAAAATCGATAACAAAGTCAGGTTAGAGCTTATAGTCAAACTGGTATCAACCAAATAAGCAGTCATGCAAATAGATCTTTATTGAGAACAAAAGACTTTTAATGACACATTACATACTGATATAAGAAAGAAAATGACATGTGAGAATAAGTCATGATCATACTTCCATTGACATGAAAAGATGGGACACAANCGAATATTGTCACTTAAATTGGAAAAACTCCCTTCGCGCATTTATCCTTCGGGTCCGGGCGCGCAAAAAGGAGGTGTGACACAACCATCTAAAGTGCCCCCTCCACACAGAGGCATCAGGCATTTTGCAATGAGTTATCTAATTTTCTTTTTAGAGGCAAAGAATGAGCTACCTTATACATACCTGTCATACTTGACTTTGTAATAACCAATGCTGCTTTCAGTAACATGAGGAGACAAGCTCTATCAATTTTTTTCGAAAAAAAAAAACCTCTTATCAGTTCTTTGCTTCCATTCAGATTATTCAACATAAAATGTCAACGACAAGTGCATTTTGAAACGTCAAATACAATGTTATGTCAACATATACATTCACTTTTTAATATAAAATCCCCAAATGCACATATATATCACACTATAACACACAATGTCAACTTCTTCAAACACAGAAAGATATGTCTTCTAGTTTCATAGATAAAAAAAATCTATGGTGTTCTATGATTCATTTATTTATCAAAAAAGGGTAGGTTTCTCTTTTTCTTGTTCTTCTCAAGTCATGCAAAGCATCATTCTTATTAATAATTTAGTTCATAAGTTTCATCAAGATAAAATTATTATGGGCCGCATATGCTTTCAGATCACTAATAGTCTGTCCGCTAAAAACTGATTCACCATTTTTCTTCTCAAATATATCATTCAGTCCTTCTGTACTTTACAATTCATTTCTGTAAAGCACAGCTAGTTCTTTTACTTGATGCTCAATCCACCAACATAACAGATCCGTGAAATAAAAGAAGATAAGGAGAGGATGTATGTAGGTTGAAGAAAAAAGGTTTCAAAAGACGAACTGCGCTATAAAATCAAAGGTTATATTACATCCTAAAATATGCATACTATTAAGATTATTGCAAGCCAATAATAAGTGCATTTTTAACAAATTAGAATGTTTTCAATAATATCATAAAGTAATTCCTCAGGATGGTTGGCACATTGGACACCACAGGCTATCCACACCTTTTCTTCACTTTGAAGCTAATATGACCTTTTCTATCCAACTCATCTTTTTACATATAATCCTTACGACCTGTTACAATTTATAATACCGAAAACAAGCCGTCTAACTTACGATATATACATTGAAGTCAATAGGTTTGCATCTGGGAGGGTTTACGCAGAAGAATTCAACATAGACTAAAAGGATGAGATTGAATTATGGTGGACGTCAGCTCTAAATTGAAGAAATTCTCAATGGACTGGTTCAGATGTAGCTTACATGTTACAAGCTGCCAAAACTAAGGCAGAGCTGTAGCGAATATACTAGGAAATGCCTATATATCACAAATTTGGAACTTTTAACTAGATTATCACCACGGCCAACCACTTCTCTACTTCTAACTCCCACTTGATCTCTGTGACAAAAGGCCTATCGGCATTTAAGTATCACTTCCTCAAGTTGCATCCATGTCAAAATCTCATCTTTCTAAATAAACATTATGTTAAATTGCTATCTTTTGAATACAAAGGAGAACCCCTTATAAATGGAAATTGGAATGCCACAACATTGAATACCAAATTCATATTTGACAGCACCGATTTCTGAAATCGGAAGAGCATATAGGGATAATGAATAGTTACCATATTAATCATTGACATGCCAAGAACAGAGACGTAACAGAAAGGACAATATTCTTGCATTACACTTGCTCTTACGAAACAAACTCTAAATTAAATCCTAAAACGTCTCCTGGACGTACTTTAAAAAAAAAAGACAAAAAATGTTCTCTCTGGGAAGGACCGACATGTTCCACATAATGTTTGATTCAAGGATGTCATACATATGGGTCTACATATTGGCTATAGTATTGGTGAGCAAGAATTAAAAAGAGAGTACTTTTACCAAATATTCCCTTGTTTTGTTGTTTCTTATAATTCTTGAGATTTATACTCTATCCAAGGGTCTGAGCCCAAATAGGATGTGACGGCTCTGTCTACATCCTTATTCAAAGAAAACATAAGCAGAAGGAGCATGAGTCAAAATTGTCCTAACCACACCCCATCCAGCCCAATATTTAATCATTTTCGGTCCCCTGAAGTTTCTTAACTAAGTCATATGGACTAAATACATAATGTTCTTGGAATAAGCTACAAAGACCTAGGAGATTTACGTATACACTTAAATCATCTTCACAGTGAAGCAGACTGCTCTAAGAGACTTTGCTCGAGTATCTCTTGATATAGTTATACACAAAGGATACACAGAAATCGTATTCCCCGTTTGCTTTAAACAGTTAAATGCTAAAAAAAATGGACGTACCTATGATATATGCTTTTATCTTGTGCTTAAACTTCTGTCTCTGCATCCTTTATTTGCAAGAGTGGGGCCTTTGAATTGATATTTCTTGACAGATGGTCTTCATCTACCTTCTTTTCTTGTGTTTTTCCCCACATCACAGCATAAAAGCCAACAACAATTACAATTGACCCCACCAAGCTGTAACAAAAGTGATGATTAGGCACATGTAGTCCATTTTGCCAACACTTCTATAGATTTGTAAGGTTGTCAAAGAAATATAACAATACCTTCCAAGGTAGAAAATATCTCCTAAGAAGATGATACCCAATGCAGCAGCAATTACGATTCCCAGAGGATGGAACATAGCAACAAAGAGAGGTCCCCTTCTACGAACGCACCAAAACATTACACTGACTTGAAATGCAGAGCCAAATACTCCCTAAGAAAAGCAAAATACATGTCAGATGGTTGAGATATGCTGAAGAAGGGTCAGATGGTTGAGATATGCTGTAGAAGGAAACTGATGAACCTCTCGATGCTGATCAAATAAGCAACCATAAATTCATTATTCTCAATTGATAAAGCTCAACATAATTTTCTTGTAATTAGGCTTCTTCTAAGATGCACAAGCTAACGTATTCTCAAAGGAACCACTGGGAATAAAGTGTAATAGCTGGATAGAAGAAGATGGAAGCTAAACCACCATAAATGGACAACTGTTAGGCCAGGGTAGTTTGAATAATTTCTTGAACACAAGATAAACCAAATTCAAAGCTAATATCACTCCTTAGCAGGTTTTAGCACATCAATAGAAGTTATGTAAGCCTATGTCTTGTTTTACTAAGTGATTATGAGGACAGTTTTGATTTGTCTTGGTTTAGTAGTCTTTGGAAGTAATTGTCCTTAAATAGCAAAGCACTTAGTTGTAATTTAAAATATCATTAGCAAGCTGGTAGAGAAAGTAAGTAAGAGAATTCAATATACTAGTGATATAGCAATATAGTGAAAAAACTGTTCTAATTACCACTAAAGGTTCCAAATTCACTGTTCAGTGTATTTTGAAAGGGAAATGGGCACTAAGCACATGAAAGGTTTGCCTGTTAAGAAGACACGATATGTCAAGATATTTCCACAGTTGAAGCAATTTGTTGCCAAAAAATTTAGTTAACCGTATAAAGGCAGTATGTGAATCTTTCAATCTTAAGCGGATCCCACGAAGAAAGAAACTCTTCTAAAATTAGAAGTATCTATTATTCATTGATCACTTTGCCAATATCTTCTTATCCTTCTCACTTTCGTATCACTAATTTACAGCACATATTTTCCAACCTGAAAACCTTGGAACAGCCACTAAATTCAGTGTGCAAACATATAAGCCTCACATTGGCCCAGCTTATCCCTCTCGACCTTTCTTTTGTATTAGCGTTTTCAGATTCATATTTTAGAACAAACTCCTTGTCTAGTTTAGTACCGAGATTGATCCCACCTTAGCAAAACACACTAACTTAGATTAACTAAGAGTAGGAAAAAAAACTGTATCCTTAGGTTGCAATTGGGAGAGTCTAGTCTAATAGGAACAAACTGAGCCAAGTAAAGATAATGTTCAGATCAAGGGGTTAAGTGGAGAAAAATGTACAATTAGCTTGAATTTACTTCTGATACAAAGCAGGCGGAAAGCTAGAACCAGATTAAGTAAATTCATACCATTCGCAATTGAGCATGAATCATATATTTATTGAAGTACTCAAACAGAGCCTGACAAGTGCTTCGTCGATTATTATCTTAGCATGGTCACAATATGAGAAAATCCTATAATGTAAAATGCACACATTTTACCTACTTACTGAGTATAAAACAGCGAACAATCTCGTACCAGATTGTAGCATCCAAGCATTTATGTTCATGTCCATAAACAGAGAGACTATTGCTGATAGAATGGAGGAAAAGAAGCAGTAAAAGAAGACCACAATCAGCTCAACTGGATAATTTTTAAGGATGGAAGCCTGTAAAAAGCATAAATATATCAATTCTAGCGCCGATTCTCAACTAACAAAGGTGTGGCTTTCAATGAGTTATTCTCACACCTGTACAATTAGATACGCTGAAGCCGCTATGCAATCCACTACAAGATATAGTCCTCCAATCACCCAGTCAGTTTCCTGAAAATGAAGATAATTTTGAGGCTTCAAAGATGAGGAACTCAAAAAAATTTGCGGTCCCTTGTAAAGAGTGGCGGTGAAGGCTCCGGCAATTGAGACGACGGTTCCAACAGATTTAATCAGGGTACTTGTACTTCGATAATCTAATTTCTCCATCCTGATAGAAAGCAAAGAAAAATGTGCATTTTTGTTATTTGTTCCAGTCTCTTGTGATCGAAGATATCTATAGTATCCAATTACATCAATAAAGCTTACAAAGAGAGGAGACCGCACTGAATGATTTTTTAGCAGGTTTATCAAAATGATATGACCTTCTAATGTGCATGTGTATGTGCTCCTACTTCATATTTTCTTTTAAATCTTCATAACCAAATGGCAGATGAAAAGAAATATGAAACACAGCACCCTCAACAAAGAATATTGAGGCATTTTTGTATACATTCACTTTTTCCAGTTCAATGCTAACATGTTTTAGTTTAACAAATAAAGAATTATAGATAGCTAAACTCATGGTGCTGTACAATATTCTGTTTTATTTCCACCATTTTATTCTTCCTTCCATGGTTCCTTAATTTCCTACGTTGTTTCTGGTTACACATGCTCTTTAATTGAATGGAAATGAGCATTCAGTTGAATTAGAAAACAATTATACTGATTATCGAAAACAAAGAAACTCCGATGAAAACAAACATAGAACTCACTGCAATATTTGTAACATTGAAAACATAAGTATACCAAGTAGAAAATTCAAATTACGAACACTTCACTTCGGAGGGAACAATATACTAATCTGTTTTCTCATAAGCTAGAAAGTGAATAAACTGGCTTGCTTAATACTCCCTCCATTCCATTTTATATCACACTCATTCTTTTTTAGTATTTTCCAAAAAGAAGATGATCATTTCCATATTTGGTAACTTTTAACTTTAAATTTCTCATTTTACCCTTACTCTTAGCTATAGAAATGCCGTGGTATAGTTAAGACCACAAGTTCGTGCTAGCCTTTCTTTCTTTTTAAAACTCAGTGCCGAATCAAACATGATCATATAAAATTAAACGAATTGAGTATTGGTGTTCATTCTACTCTAAAATCAACTAGAACAAAAGTGAGAAGAGGGTAAAAACCTGAAAATGACGGCAAGTACGAAAGTAAAACCTGGGATGAGATTGAGCATAGCTGAAGCAAATGAAGCAGAAGTATAATTAATCCCAGCATACCCTGTTAGCTGAGCTGAACAACTACACAAAATCATGAAAAACCCATAACCCAAATATTAGACCTTTACCAATTGCTAAATCAAAAACCAGCTAATTGAAAGATGAGAAATCCCATACCCAAGAACTCCCAGCAAGAAAAATCCACATATAAGTGAGAAATTGAGTGGAGGACGAGTTGACCTATAGAAGAAGAAAGAAGGGAGGAGAATAAGGGAAGCAAGAGCATTGGAGTAGAAGACGAAAGTGAAGTTGGTCATTCCAGTGGACATGGCTTTTTTGCCTACAATCATTAAACCCACTTGTGCAAATTGTGTTGAAACCATTCCTATGTATGGCAAAGCTTCCTTCATCTTCATCTCCATCGCCATTTTTCAGTCTCTTGTTAGCTGACCCTGAACTTGGACTTTATTCAGTACACTTCCAAAATCCAACATGTGCTTCTAGGAAAACTTTTCTATTGTGGGTCCCAAAATAACCCCAAAAAAAAAAATTAAATATTTGTGGAAATATCAACTTCCATATCATATTTTATCAATTAGTATATTTTTTTACATCAAGATATAAAATTTATCTTAATTAATCATAGATAAAATGATATTATCTCCCACATTTTTTTTAAAACCTATTATGTAATTGTAAACTAAACGATAGTTGAGGATCACTTACTAGTTTAAATGCATTGAAAAAAAAACAATTCATTTCGAAGTTTAAGATAGAGATAAAAATTGGCTGTCTCCGGACGCCTAGCACCATGGACGGTCTCGTGGTCTTGGCCGTTAAAAATTGGCTGTCTCCGGACGCCTAGCGCCATGGACGGCCTCGTGGTCTTGGTCGTGCCACGTGACAAGCGTGTTTGTCCCTATGTCGCCCCATTAATAGCTTTCACCAGCGCCCAGCCACAGGCAGATGCCATTAGCGCCCCTCGGCAGGCTATGCCCCAGTCGCGTGCCATTGTCAGCGCAATCGACCCATGCCCTGCGGCCAGAACGGACTTGCTTTTACCTTGTGCGAATCTAAGTCATTTTTGTTGTAAATATATAGTAGTTTTACTTCCTGTATTTCCATTATGAATCTCTAGCTTATTTATGTCAAGTCCTGTAACTTTGATTTTTTTTTAAGCATTATTAGGGGGATCAAGTAGTTAAACTTTCAAGCAAGCAAACAATTCTCTGTATTGGTGTCTCTTCCCCTGGATGTCGTGTTGCCTTTCTGTAATAACTTTCATTACTGCAATCAAGCTTTCTTTCATTCTCTTTCTCTTTTTTTCCTCTTAATTTCTCTTGACATCGATTTTTCCCTACTTCACTGACAGTCTCGTACGGAGGACCCCAGTTGGTGGATAGCAACTGCACGGACATCGATTGCTTAGCCTTGTATCGCCCTTCCAAGACATCTCAGGAAGGCGTCGTGTAACAGTTGGTACCAGAGCCTCGGCTCGATATCGGACGAAGGAACAAATTGCCATTACCTCTATTTTAGACCATAGTGGATCATGGGGACCGCATTGCGGCCCTTGAAGAGACGGTTAATGTATTACGACCCATTGCGAGTACAGTGCATGATCTAAGAATCAGCCTAGTGCAAAGGTTGGACGACTTGGACAGCATGATGCGGTAGGCCAAATGAGACATTGCAATTATCAGTTGCCACTCTGAAGGAGACCGACAAATGGTAGTCACAGAGGCAGCCGAAATTTCAGTAAATTCGAGAGGCTCCAACAGGAGAGGACCAAAGATTTAGCCCATAAGCAATAAGAGGCATACATGGTGACTGTCATGCAGAAATTTATAGATAACTTGACGGGTCAGCATAATATTAGCAACGCTGTGTTACAAGGCCTACTCCGAGGAGGAGGAAACCACATCGGGGGTGCTGTGAACCTCGCCCCTATGCCACAAAAAATCAATATCCCTGAACCGAAGCCCCACAATGGGGCTCGAAATGCTAAAGAAGTGGAGAACTTCATATTTTACATCGAACAATACTTTGATGCTATGGGGGAGCTAGAAGAAACAAAGAAGATAGCAACGGCTACCATGTATCTTAAGGGTGACGCTAAACTTTGGTGGAGGGTGAAATAAGAAGCTACCAGGGCTGGTGAAGATAATCGTGATACATGGGGAAACCTGAAGGCAGCCGTACGCTTACAATCTTCCTTGAAAATGTTGGATACAATGCATGGAGAAGGCTCCGAAAGTTCCGTCAGACCAAGTCAGTCTGGGATTACATGCGTGAATTCTCCACACTTATGTTGAACATACGGGATATAGGCAACAAATACAAACTCTTCTCGTTCTTGGAAGGTTTGAAACCTTATGCCCATGTGGAGCTGCAAAGACAAAGGGTATATAATTTTCCTAAGGTGTCCAAGATGCAGAATGCCTTGGGGACTACCAAGTGGAAGCTCGTAAGGATAGGCCTCAACCACTTGTCCGTGGAGGATACAAAAGGGGTCGGCCTAGAAATGGTGGCCCTAGCAGAAGTGGAGGAGATAGGTGAAAGCAAATCTAAGCCTCTCACGATAATGATCGGGGGAGGAAGCCTCCTTAAGGATGTTGTCATTGCAGTAGGCCGCATTGGAGCAATGAATGCCCACAAGCATAAATGAACGCCCATCAAACTTTTGATGATAGGACGAATGACGATGCTGACCAGACAGAACCAATAGGTGCCTTCAATTCACTTATTTGTTCTATTTATGAGGCCTTAACGGGAACTAGTACCCACATCTGTAAGAAGAAAGACCCATGTACAGCCACCAAGAAAAGGAATACGGAGGCGGATGAGAAGTCTCCTCTTAACCAGGAGAAGACCCTAATTTTCGCCGAAATTAAAATTAATAGCAAGCCCATTCGTGCGATGATAGACACGAGTGCTACTCACAATTACCTAGCCTCAACTCAGGTAGAGTGCCTTGGTCTAGTCATAGGAAAGGGCAGAGGCCATGTCAAGTATATCAACTCACTGCCTCAGCTAGTGAGTGGAATAGCCAAAGGAGTGTTGGTGAAGCTGGATCCCTATGAAGGAAAATTCAACTTACGTGTGGTGATTATAGATGACTTCGAACTGATAGTTGGATTGGAATTCATGAGGCAAACCAACACCATTCCCGTACCTTATGCAGACATGCTACTGATGATGGGAGTAAACGGGCACAAGCCCTACATTATCCCATGCACAACCATAAAGATATCCACGGGGAACATCTCATCCCTACAGTTGAAGAAGGGAGTCAAAAGACATGAACCTAAGTTTCTATATACCAGTGTATTAAATATATTAAATGCTCTTCGGGTCTCATTCATGCACCTGTGAAGGAGATACTAAAGGAGTTTGAAGATGCATGCCACAAGACATGCTGAAGCAGCTCCTGCTTAGGCAAACTATGGACAATGAGATTGAGTTGGTGCCGGGTGCAAAGCCACCCGCCCGGGCGCCTTACAGAATGTCACAACCTGAACTCACTGAGCTTCAGATACAGTTGATGGGGATGCTGGACACAAGGATCATTATCCCCTTCAAGGCCCCTTATGGGTCCCCTGTGTTGTTCCAAAAGAAATATGATGGCACCATACGACTCTATGTGGATTATCGGGCCCTAAACAAGATAAATCCTAAAGAACAAGTACCATATCCCGCTAATGGCGGACCTGTTCAATAGATCGGGTGGTGCTACAGTGTTTACCTAAATAAATATGAAGACACGTTTCTAGCAAGTCCGAATTGCTGAGAGATATGAAAATAGGTTATTGGAAAGTCCGGATTGCTGAGGGATATGAACACATGACGGCTTGTGTGACAAGATATTGGTCGTACAACTTCTTGGTCATTCTATTAGGCTTGACTAATGCTTCAGCCACATTTTGCACCCTAATGAACCAAGTCTTCCGAGAGTACATTGACGAATTCATTGTGCTCTACTTGGATAATATGGTATATAGCAAAAAGTTGGTGGAATACTGATCACGTCCAATCCATACTCAATAATAAGTAGGAAACGGTCATTGTAATTATAATACCCAACTTAAGTCGGGGTCGAATTTCATAGAGAGATTAAGATCGGTATTAAGGTAAGTACTCAAGAAGAGAACGTGAAATAGCTTAATTATACTTTCAAACAAAGTGAATGATTGTTTTCAAAGTTAACAGCTAGTAATTAGACTAAGAGATAGCAACTAGAGAATGAATTATTTTTGGTATTTTTAATCAATTAAGGAAAATCCTAGGGATGTAACATTCGCCTAAGTGTAAACCTAATGGGTATACTAAGTTAGTGCTTTCTTGGTAGATCGGGGTGTATTATGACTCTCAATTCTCAAGTATCCACTCAATACCTCTCGGTCATAGAGTAGTTATTCCCAAGTTGGTTTTCTCAAGTCCAAGTGGGTAGCAATCTAAGCAATTGATATGAATTCAAGTCGGTTTTTCCCTGTCTCTAGTTTAAAACCTTAACTAGCTCAATTTCTTGTTAGCCAAGTTTGCCTAGACTAGGTTCCTCTTTCTCAAGTAAGAACTAAGTCAAATAGGCATGAATCAATATTTGCACCCATTAATTCTAGATATAAAGCATAAATACGACTAAATAACAAATACCCAATCATAAACAAGAACTAGTATTAATAACCCATAAGTTTTACACATCGGGGTTGGGTCATAACCCTAGTTAAAATCTAGCTACTCATACTTGAAAACATAGAAACTACGATAGAAGAAGTAATCAAAGACATAAACAATAATTAAAAAAATAAAAGTAGTGGGTCTTCTTCAATTTTGATCACGTTTTGCCCAAAAAAGATAAAATATAACCACTACAGCTGCTAGGAATACAAAAGTTGCCCTAAAAAAGTGTTTCCCGTTTATTTATAGTGTCTAAAATTTCATTGATTAAAATACCCTGCGGGAGGTTCTGCGGCCGCAAAATTTCATATGCAGACCATACTTTTTTCTGCTTTTGCATTAGGAGGACATTTGCGGCCGCATAATTATCTCTATGGATGCACTTCAGCTTTTGCGGCCGCATATTTTGATTGTGGACCGCATTCTTAAGAGGCTTCGCATTTGGTATTCTGCACCTTCTCTTAACTTATCAAACTTTGTCAGTGCGACCCGCAAAATGCAAAATTTGGTCTGCGGATCACGCTTCTACAAAACTCCTCACAGACTTCAAGTCTTCATTTATGACCACACTTATTTCTACGAACCGTACAATCATCTGCGGACCGCGCTTCTATTTGCATTTCTCCTTTTTGCCTTGTTGAGTTGTAATACTTTTTTTTGAGTTAGATTTCTTCATTGAGCTCCAATCCTCCAACATGTGTGCAATTCACACAATTTTGTTAGATTTGGAAACCAAAATCACTACTTTCGGACTAAAACTAA